GAATCCTGGAGTTCCTGGTGCAAGAAGTAGGAAATACACTAATAGTACTCCCATTCATCACATCTTAGTCGTACTTATGGTAACGATGCTTGCTCCAAACAGCATCCCACAACTTTTACATTACATCTGGTCTACATCGTTTACATCTGCTTTACTCTCATCCTTGTTAACATACTTGAAATGAGGCATCAACAGATGATGCTGAAAAAGCTGAGGTTCTGTCAATGCATTACATTTACTTATAATAAATGGTTTCATACATGTTAAGATATGAAATGCAACAAACACATGCACCGAGGAAGCCATCAGCAGTAGACTACACTTTTCCTTAGCCACTCAGTTTAAAATACTCCTAAAACCTTTAGAAAAGTCTCATTTTTGAAACAGGGAGATTGTCGGTTAAATAAGTCTGCATTAGGGGGCTTGTCATGGCACCTCCACATTCACAAGCATATGCTCTTGCAAAATCAGCTTTACTAACATTTTGCACTATTCATCATATTCGACATGGAAACGAGGTGGTTCTTACTGTATACAGAGGACCCCAACCACCACCATTACATCACCATAAATCTCTTTACAGTGGCATTGCAAGGGAAGACAGAGACACAACAGATTCACCAGAGCACAGTACCTGGTCAGTAGCGGGAATCGACTCCCATCTACGCTTCAGCAAGTACAGAGATTTCCGGCTCATGATCTTGAATTTATTCTAGAGGTTTTTCCACGCTCGAGAAAAAAGCTTCTCCCAAACCAGTGTCAAGAACCCTATTTCTGACTCCTGTGCTTCATTGCCGTAGACAGCAGAGCTCCCCGATGTACAGAAGTTTTTGCGAGCTGCAAGGCTGAGACTGGTAACACCCAAGCTTCTCCTGTTTCTCTAGAGCATGCGTCTCCTTATAGTGCCACGACAAAGAGAATTGGGTGAGATAGTGAAAAGCCTAGCTTTCACTGACGAATTACCTCGCAAAAGCATGAAGTAGGTAGACAACACCAGACGCACTCAATCTGAAAATAGCTGTTGCTTAGGAACTGGAGGGGTAAAATGCAGCACCTCAGATATATAATTGAGAGCTTTTATGTTTAAAGAGAATTAAAACCACTGGACCTCTGTGTTTCTCTCCCGATTATCATCCTTTTATAATATTGGAGGAATGATCGCTCGATTGCACTGACTCTCGGGGCTACGCCTACCATCTTCAGCAAGCCAAACAAATCTTGATGACAGAGCAGCATATAACTCCCACACATTCAAGGTCCCTCGTAAAAACGTGTGCCATGGGTCCCACCTGAAATATCTTAGAAGTATCAAGTACTATGTTTTAGTAGAATAATTAAAATACAGTTTGCTTATTTTTTCTACAGAGAGATAATATGCCAAGGATGAATTCTGCTAGTCACATTTTCCTGTACCATGTACTGATATTAGAAATGGGTATGAATATTTTCCCCTCACATGAGTGAGATGATGGGGTTTTACAGACTGCATGTGTATATTTGAGAGAGAGAGATATATTTCTTTATGCTGGTTAAACATTCCTAAACATTTAGGAATTTCTTTAACTTGGAACTCAAATTCAAAGTCTTGTACCTAAATCCTAACCTATATTAATTTTAAAAATTAATCATAGAACATAATGAAATTAACTTTGCACTTCTTGCATGATTTCAAACCCAGAGAGTAAGTTCTCTCCATGAAGCATTTACAGCAGGAAGTGTTACCTTCAGAGATCAAAAAAAGAAGGGAAAAAAAAAAAAAAGAAGTAGGTAGCCGGGAACTCATTGGTCTTTGTAAGGCAGCCTATAATTCACTCTTATTACAGCAGCCTTAATAGTATAATTATTGTAAAAGAAAAGGAATCCTACAATACACACATATACATATATGTGTGTGTAACCTATGAAAAAAGTGAGTGTGGTGTTGGTGTGCAAGTCAGGAGCAAGTTAAATATTGTAAAGACAGCTTTTTACTTGTCCCATTTACATTCTATTGAATTGCAGATGTTTATCAGGGGACAAACTCCTGCAAACAGAAATTCCTATAAACCTCAGTGTATTTCATTTGACATCCATCACCACCTGTAACCACAGCCCTTTGTATTTAACCACATGCAGAAAAGGAATGCATTTTCCAAGTCAGTCATTAAGAAGTATGACATGCACTGTAGTAGTTTCCTCTCATGTTTCAACACATACATAGAGAACTTCTTAAAAAATCTTAAGAAAATTAGAGTTTTGTGTAATGAGTCTTGGTAGAATAATTTTATGAGTTTATATGTGGATTTTAGTTTTATATTATGGTAAACCAGTGGTTCCACTTCCTTTTCTCACAAGTGACATCGATAACACTCACAGGCATGGGTGGCTTCCTAAGATCTATCTTCCCACTTTCTTCACTTTACTCCATAAGAATTAAAAGATGATGGAAGACTAATAAATTGGCTCCCAGTAACATAAGCCTAAACCTTGTCCTTCCCTCTTGCTGCTTGCCCAAGCAGCACAGGTTATATCACTGGCCAGGAGAGATCTCTCCTCCAAAGTCCCATTTCTCTGCTGGAAGAAAGCCCTGTAGACCTCAGGAAATACCATAAGCAACTTTGTGGCAGATCGTACAGGCAACTGCCAGTCTATCTTTAAACACCTGATGCATTAGATTTGAAGAAGAAGTATACCTAACAGATTATTCATCTTAATTTTTAAGCACGATCTTGTTTAACAAAGGGTACATTTATTAAGGACACAACTTGGAAACAAAGCAACTGAATCACAAAAGGATAAAACGTGTCTTTTACACTACATGCAAAAATTGGAACCTGCTAAATTTCTCCTAACCTTTCAATGAACTAGTTAAATTAGGTTTAACACTATTCCTATCAAAGACAGTTTTCAGAGCCATTAAAATAGAGAGTCTGAGGCTACAGTGGAACAACTGAGGCTTATTTTCTTTCCCCTAAAGAAACTTTTCTACCTTGCTTCTTGTGACTGGGCACTAGGATACCACACGGTAATCAGAGAGTCATTGGGTCATTTTCTTTTCCCACCCTTTTCAAGATCCTTTAACATTTCTGTGGTACATATTCATTGTTAGTTTTACAGGGTTCTTCCAAGATTTGTAAAAATCAGCTTTCCAGAAGCTTTGCAGAACACCTATATGCAGCACAAATGAAATAAAAGAGTGCTTACAGGATGAAATTGATTAAAACTATGCACTTATTTTTAGATGGATTTAGAAGGAAACACCTCATTGCTCTGTCAAGGAAACCCTACGTATGCAGATTTTATCTGGTTTTGAAGGAATGTACTCTTGGGGGTGAAGTATTTTTGCTTATCTTGTTAAAAAATAAAATTAAAAGACATTCTGCCTAAGAAAAAAAAATCATCAGGAGTCTTCTACATGATAATCTGAAACAGAGTTTTCTAGAATAATGTTTTTAATAATTCAACAATATCCTTCACGAAAGGTTCAAACGACTGCAGGCTGACCTGCAGAGAATGCCATTGAACTTCTCCTCACCCCATTTAAAAAAATAATAAAAATGAAATGGTGGTGGAGTATCTAAAACATCACACAAGGAAGGAACAAACCTGTTCTGAGAAAAATACAGAAAAAAAAAATTATATAGAGTTCTCTTCTCACAATTAAACGCTGTTTAATATCTTCATAAGTGATCTGTATGATGGGATCAAGTGTAGCCTGATGAAGTTTGCTGAGGATACCAAACTGAGTGGGGAAGTGGACACTCTGGGAGAGCCACCCTGCAGGAAGACCTGGATAGGTTGGAAGAGTGGGCTAATAAGAACCTTATGAAGTTCAACATGGACAAGTGTAAGGTCTTGTACCTGGGAAAAATTAATCCAGGAATGCAGCTCAGACTGGGATCTACCTGGCTGGAGAGCAGCCCTGTGAAAAGGGACCTGGGTGTCCTGGTGGACAAGCAGCTCAATAAGAGCGAACAGTGCGCTGCAGGGGCAAAGAAAGCCAACAGGATGCTGGGTTGTATCGACAAGGGCATCACCAGCAGAGATAAAGAACTCATTATCCCACTCTACTCAGCATTTGTTAGGCCACACCTGGATCACTGTGTTCAGTTTTGGTCCCCGCTATACAAAAAAAGATATGGACAGGCTGGACAGGACAACAAAGACTATCAAAGAACTGGGAAGCCTGCCATATGAGAAAAGGCTGAGAGAACTGGATTTGTTCAGCCTTGAGAAAAGAAGGTTTAGGGGAGACCTTATCACCGTGTTCCAATATTTAAAGGGTGGCTAGAAAGAAGATGGAGACTCCCTCTTTACAAGGAGTCACCTGAAGGAAAAACCATCACAAAATACTGGAGCCCTAATAATCTATTTATACAGTTTCAACACCAGATGGGCAAGACTGCTTTACCTAAGCAGGAAAATTCCTGAACTTCAATATTGGTAGCAATGTCTCCTTCGCAGCAACTGTAGCTCTGTAGCTAATTTAAAAACGTATCACCATAATGCTATTAACACTACTAGCATAACTTACTTTCAATGATGTGTCAAGAGAAAACCAGTAGCTGCACATGGCTTTCCTGCACCTTCCCACACAGTTCTAACACTATTAACCCCTTTGCTACTGAACAAGGTGAGAGGGCCATCCAAGTTTTACAAGTTTGTCAGGTTTAAAAAAACTCCACCACATAACACACACACATTATTTGAAATTGCATTCTCTTGATATCCCAATAGAGATAGCCGAGTAAGAAATGCTTTCTCAATACATCTAATCCATCTTTCTGCTACTGAAAGAAACTTTGTTGCATGACTCAGCTCTGTCTGGATCAACTGTTTGGATTACAGCTCAGAAATTATACTAATGAAAGCTGTCATGGTTTTACGCCTTTTTTCCATTGATTCAAACCTGCAAATATGAACAAAATGAACAACTCTGACAATGTCAGATAGAAAACTTGCTTGTATACGTCAAACTTACAAAAAGCCAAACCAAAACACAAAATACTGAGCAGCCTGACCTGTGAGCCTCTGGGTCCTCTTTTGTGATCCCATTCAGAATGCCCCATGAGCTGAAAAACAAAGAAAAGCACAGGTAAGTGAGAAATTGTGCTCATAAGCTTTAATTAATTTTCACAATTTTATAACCATTATACTTTTTCTTTGAAAAAACAGGTTTGCTTTTATGATTTATTTCACACAGCTTTTAGCTTCATAATGAGGGTGAGAAGACTTGGGACTTGTTACTATAACTTTTTACCTTTACATTCCGAGCCAAAACACATCTAGCATCACAATCCTGCTCACGCCAATAAAATTCCCACTGCCATAGATTCAGCTTCAGGGAAAAGTTTACTAGTGATCTGGCAAAAGGAGATTACCAAAACCAGGGGACATTTATTAAATAGCAATGCATGTTTTATACCAGGTATACAGCTTTAAGGTCTGTCTCACCACTGAATTATTCTCAATGTAATAAAAAAGTAGAGGTTCACCCTCTAAAGGAAAACAGGTTGGGGTCATTACATTGCAGAGTAAAGCAAAGAGAGAGTTTAGAGATGATGAGTTCTTGTAGAAATTAAGATTTGTGATGGCATACAGCTCCTCAAGTTAAAGAGAAGGCAAGCATTGATTACAGCCCAAATTCAGCTCTCAAATCCTCTGTGCAACCCTACAGGAGATTGTGTTGTGATACAGGTGGTCAGACATTGAATGGTACAGGTGGACTCCAGAAAAAATAATTTGTCTTCTCCCATCTTTTTTCTACTGTACTTCCTAACTGTCTGCTAACACAGGCACTCACTCTTTTTTCTTTAAGCAACATACAATTTGCACACAGCAGCTCTTTCCACATACGACATGGTGGGGGACAGAAAAAAGAGGAGCGAGAATACCCAGTAGGCTTTATTACTGCTTTATATATCCAAAGATTACGGGCAAACGTAAACTGCTGACAATAAAGCTGTCCTCATACCTGCCTAAAAAACCCTGGAAAGCACCAGGGAGTGCCCAGGTACAGCTCTGGTGGAGCCAGAGTTGCGCAGCACACTAGGTGGCTGCCACTGCTAATCCTGCCTTTGAGCTCTCTGCCAGCATGTGTTCCAGCCTGAGACCTAGATTTTTTTTTTTTGATTTTTTTTTTTTACAGCTACTCACAGATCTCTTCTGGGTAATGCTTTTTCTTACTCACACGAGCATGGCTTAATGCAAATATAAAAATATATGAATGAAAGATGACATGTAATGACTTAGTCACAAACATTTTCTTGCTCTTTTTTTCCCCACATTCTTTCCCAAAGGAAATGCCTTCTCCCAGGTCAGAGGTAGGCAACAAGATTTGAAACCTATGCTTATTGCAGAACATGCTTTTGAAATACTCATCCCAGGTCAAGAGATTAAAACTACTTTGAAAAATGAGGAAAGCCACATACGTCTCAGATGACAACTCTGTCCTCTCCATCTACTGTTCCTACTTACCCTTTCCTTCTCCAAGGGCCCCTTAATTTCTTTATTACTTACAATTACCAACCCCCATAACTGGAGACAAAAGGCACATGCAGATAGGCATCAAGGATCAGAAATGTCACACCATTTTTTTACCCGATACAGCCTCATGACTGACCCCTTCCTTTTACTGTAATTATTTCCTTTTTCCATATACTGTTGGTGGAAACACTGGCTGTGCCAGGTTTCCCTGTTTGTTTCTCCATACTGTTATGTTTGCCTACTGCTGTATGAAACTGAGCTTTGATGTTTATGAAAGCTGGCCTCTCAGTAAATAACTGGCATGCAAAAGCTACCAAGAGATGCATCTACCAAAGGTTATGTGCTTCACAGAACCTCTGCCAAAACCCTCATACCTGTGCTTCCTCCCTGGCTCCTGCCACCCTGGACTAAGAAAGCCTCTTCAGCTTTAACTCCTCAGCCCCTATGCCTTGTCGGGAAACGGTGTCTGCTTTCTTAATTCACTTGGCTAAAGAAAAATTAATTTAGCATGAGTCTGACCACCTGCGATTCCCAGCATGATAAAGGATATCTTTACCTACAACTTCCTACCAGTGAAATTAGCACAAAAAATATGCCTGTTATTTCAGTTAGGAAAACAATGTTACAGGCCTGGCTATAGTTACTGTGGTTGTCCAGCCTCTATAGACATAGGGCAGAGCATACCACACCCTCAAAACCAAGTGTAGCGTGAGATCCCACTGCCAGGTTTTTCATGCTCCTACCCTCACTGAAACCATAGTTTACTGAAAAGCGAAGGGTTGCTTTACTGTGGCCACCAAAAACAAGCAATGCAGTTAAGAGTCAAGCTTGGAGTTATCATTCCCACAAGAAGAGGTACACCAAATGTAGGGATGCTCCCAGTCTAGCCTGTCCCAGGAAACCAGATCGATGAGTGCCAGGGGTGGTTGCTTATGATCACCACCAACCCTCAAGCCCAAATCAAGTCCTCTTAAACATTCATTCTTCTTCAGACATGGTTTGCCCACTCTGTTCCCTGTTTCCCAGTTACTGCCTGGTGCTTCACTTCTCCACACAGCCCCTGGCATGCTCTCCTGTCCTTCCCCAGCCAGCCCCTGCTCTGCTTCACTGCCCCACCTCCTCCACAACCTGCAGGTGGCCTTTTGGCCCAGGTCCTCCACCTCTAGCTCTACTCTGCTAACAGGTGTGGGCAGTCCTGGGGTGCTCCACTGACTGGACATGAAGAACAGAGTGAAGAATGAGTCCGAAGGCTACAACAACTTGTCCTTTCTCTATTTCTCAGCATCTAACTATCAAAATCACTTATGGAAGAGAGGCCAAAGACACCAATGAAGCAACCAGTCATAAAACCATTGGAACCAACGGAGTGACCGCTTGCTTATTCTGGCACTGTTTTATTAGTAAACTGCTAACTCCTCACAGCAAATTAAACAACCTGCATTTCATTTATTTCTCTACAAACGTGCCTTTGTGGAATCAGTCATGTTTGTATTTTTGCTGATCGATCCACTGCCCCTAGTGTAAAGGTATTTCAACACTACTGTTCTCTCTTTGTATTCCACATACTACGCCAGGATGCTCTACTGAGTTAGCCCTTTGTTTATCACCTGGTAAAATGGTGTGCACAAGGAAGTAAAGGAAGAGTTCTAGGATGGTAAGAAACTTTTCCAATTCTACGCAGTTTTGAAGCATGGTAGTAAAATTCATGACCCTGTGAAGTCAACCTTTTCCTCTCATTTTTACAATTTACCTAATCTTACTTGGCTTTAAAATGTATTTCTTCCTCACAATCTAGAAAAGAATTTTCATGTCATGCTAGAATGTTCTTGGCACATCTGCAATGGTCCACAGTTAACAAAGGACTGAAGGAGGAAAAAATGAAACAAAAAGTATATCACACTTACAAAAGGCCCTCAAACTTTAAAGACGGAAAACAAAACAAATAAACAGGTAGAGCATTGTAACACAATCTCTGCCAGGCCAATATCCTACAGCAGTAGGATTGCATCAGTATGACACCCTTCAGCTTAACAAGCCACACTGTGTTAGATTACTCCTGAACTTGGGAGTTTCTTTGAATGGACAAACAGTAAGTGCTGGAGTACAATAGGCAGAACAGGAGAAAAGCAAGTATACCTGACCTATCGGGCTACTTGGAAACCACAATTTCCACAAGCTTTATAGAAATCAAAAGATGAAGAAAACAGTATTTAAGAAAGCAAGAAACCAACCACAAACACTCAGAAATATAGAGTGTGCATAAATCTACTTGAGTCTGAGTCAACCATCTAAAATCAGAAAAAAATAAATATATATTGTTTAACTGGTGTATGCATGAAAACAGAGACACAGACACAAAAATGCATTTGGAAGTAGAGGGATTTATGTTTATCACTAACAGAAGGGTTTGTTCCAGACCCCACCACTCCTCTAAAAACTACTGTGAATCGATTTGGTCCAGAGTGATGGTAACCAGCCTCACAACATCCAGTTACTTTTCTTTATCATTCTTACTGACCAGGCTGCTCAGGCTGAGCATACCAGCAGCAGCAAAGGAAGGATAAAACCAAAATCAAACTCCCACACAGCTTATATGCATGCAGTCTCTCTCACAAGGAAAGTAACTATTTTACATTTCATCTAAAACTGTCCTGGAAACCCAACTCTAGGCAGTTTTAACACTTAAAGATGAAGGCAGCTTTCAGCAACAAGAACAACTCTTACATGTTCAAGAATGCACAAAACCATGAGTTTTACTACAGCCAACTGGCTAGCTCTACCCTACTAACCGACTAACAGGTCTCCAGGGCAAATAGCCTCCCCCAGCCCAGCGGAGTGTGAGGACTGTGAATGGAAGAGGAGGCAGGAATGGAGAAGACCCTAATACCAAAATGGCCATCACAGAGAGAAAAAGAGAAGTGAAACAGGGCTAGCTCTGAACACATACGGTGGCAGCCTCTGCTCTAAAAGTCAGGCTTTTGCTATAAACACTACGAAGTCTTCAGACCTTATGGTTGTGAAAACAAATTTTAAATGTAAACCAGATGTTCACTAATGCAATGACACCTGCAAAGGAGTAAGGAACAGTATAAGGGACCGTCTGCACTAGATACCTGAGATACCCATGCCAAATAGAATAAAGACATTTAAAAATTAGTATCTTCAGCTCTCACTTCTCTAAATGCAGCTCTCCTACTTGGTGATTTAATTAAAGCCCCAGCATATGGTTACATAATAATCTCAACTTTCGTTAAAATTCATAAACCATAATTCTAAGCCTCCTTAGTATTAAGTGAACTGCAGGAAAATATGACCCCCACATACCATGAAAGATCTAAATAAATAAAAAGACGGAAAGTAAAGAATGACAATTCAATCCTTTTTGGCTGTTTCTAGGTCTTGTTTTTTCCTTAAATCATCTTTTCTGGCCTAGGGTTTTTGATTTGGGCACCCTTGAACCAGCAATACTGCTAACTATGCTATGGCTGAAAGAAAAAAAAAAAACCCAAACCCAAATAATAACTCACAGAAACAGAAAAGGCATAATCTTACTATGAGGATCTCTACAACTGGGCACAAGTGG